GAATTTGTATTTTCAAAACAGAAGATAACAGAGAAGTAATAAAATACATTGTCCAGGGTATTTTTAACATCCAGAGACAGTATTAGTTCAATTTCCTAAAGAATGTTCAGATACATACTATAAATTGCAATGAATTATATATTAAAACAATTAATAATGAACGTTAGAGAGTCAAAGCATTTCAGAAAGGAGACACCTTATCCAGTAAGCTTGTTATTGCTTGCATTAGGTTGAAATGAATAACAAACTGTCTGAGGTCTCCTAAGAGCTCTAAAGTACAATATTTAAAAGTAATCTCTTTTATTGCTAGTAGGTATTTAAAACACCATATGACTCTTCAGAAGCTAGTTTGCAGTACTTCATTAAAAAACTTTTAAAATTACTTTTATATATTTATATATTAAATGCTTTTATAGTTCTTTGCCATATTAAACAGTCATCTGTTCCCTGTCTTTAACATATACGATGTGTACCATGACTGGAGGAGAAAGGATTCTCCTCTCTAAGTGTGAATAAACATACCGAGGAAGTGCTATACAGGTAACCTCCCTTCTGTGGTGTATCATAAATTACATATTTATGCCTAAGATTCAAGATTTATTTGGACATTATTCTCTTGTTCCAAGCTTTTTCCAAGGTGAAAATGACTCTTGATATTTGATGACCGTTAACATAGTGGTGGCACTGCTGACTAGCAGGAAACTAGAGGCCTGAGGTTTGCAGTAGTCTTGGTTTATTCTGTGAAGCTAAAAGCATTTAAAAGGCAGATTTACCCTATTACTCCCACTGGCCAAATGCTGTTCAGTCTGTGGTTTCGCACAGGGAAAATTACAGAATCCTTTGGACCTAATTTTTTTGTGGAAAAATTTTTTTGTTCCATTTACCCCAGACAAAGGACACAATCAGGACTTACTTCCAGACACAAAGAAGGCACTTTCACTGAAGCCTGAGCATGGTGTGGTGCAAAGCCACAGCCTTCCATGGGAAGAAACCTCTCTTTGGACGTGTGGATGGAGAGTGTATCTTCTGGAAGAATTGCACCCTTAATGCCACCTCTTCTCTATCACTAACCTGGCCTCACTCTGTTGATCAGAGCAGAGATGGAGCAAGGACGTGGTGATTTCAGACTAGATGATATTCTGGAAAGAGAAAAGAATGAATCATCTCATGAACCTAATCCATTCATACAGGAAAGTAGGTGGCTTGCTTTAACCCCATTGTGAAATGCCAGTAGTAGTCCAGACAAGCACTTATATAACTAACAAGCTCGCTGATTTCACCCTTTTGTAAACTAAAACACCTTCTAATACAGAGCAGTTTTCTTAGTTTCTATGATCCCTGCTGTGCTTTCTTGTAGGTAGGCATCAGTATTGCTGATGAAATGCACTGCAAATAATTGTTAGTAAAAAATTTGGAAGAAACTGAACCAATGCTGTCTAGTCATTGAGTTATTTTAGTGACAGTCACTTATTTCATTCATATTAGTTTTTGAGAGTAGCTGAATTAATTATTTCACTCGAAGGTACTTCCCATAATAGAAGACCAAGATAAAGAATTGTCAAATATAAATGGAAGAACTACACCTGGTCTAGGGAAAGTTGTCCCTGCCCATGGCAGAGGTGTTGGAACTAGATTATCTTTAAGATCCCTTCAAACCCAAGCTGTTCTACGATTCTGTGAAATCACAGCATGTCCAATTTCATATGCTCGTGTTCTAAAATTTTTGGGTTATTCTCCATGTTAGCATGTCTATATTGAGATTCACCAGTATATCATTACTGGGCTTCAGAATTTCTCAGTAAATGACTGTGAATTTCCAGTGAGATGTAAAGGATGCCACTATTACCCTTAGGGAGATGTCAGTAGTCAGCCATAAGGAATAGCACATCTGTGTAAGTTGCTACAGTTCTGAGGGAGCACCAACCTTCCTTCAGTTTCTGTGCTCTTCACTACAACATTACAAACTGATAGCGCAGATTTTTGGTAGTTAGAAAATGAGCACTTAGGTGTTATGTATCCCCAGCTTTTGCTAGTAGTTCATTATCTTCTAAAGCATAGAAGTTAAATGCAAGAAAGAAAAAAAAAACAGGAAAGAAAATTACCTGATTTGGTAATTTCAAATTCGAAGAAACTTCCCGCAGGGTGGAGGGGGGAAATTAAAAAATTAAAAAACACACATACCTTTTGGTCTCCAAAGGCAGGAATGGCTGCTTTACATTGTATCTAATAATCTTTCCTGATGAGTGGTAAGGAATATTGTTTATATTTGTTTAACTTCTGAACTAAGCAGAAGCACCTAAACAATACAGACATTGGTACCAAGTTCTAACATCTGAAAACAGCTGAGTCAATTAAATCGATGGTAAAGATTTCGTCTGTAAAGCATTGTATTTCCAGAGTGTAACTAATGGGAAAGGAAATCATTGGCTTTGAATGAAGAGATAGATGCAATTCCTCTTAATTACACTTCATTACCCAAGGGTAGTCCTTGTGAGCGATACAGAGCAAAACAGTATGCAATCAGTTCAATGTTTTATAAGTAAAAAATCACCGTGGGATATGATGCATGCTAAGAGGACACAGACTTACTGTTATCTTCTCATATATATTTAATAACTACTGGCCCTTTAAATGATAGGTTTTCCTTTCATCTGTGTATGGATGTCCTTTGATAAGGGACTACTTAATTAGAGATCAGTGATAGCATTTTTGGCATTTTGGATGTTGTAGTCTTAATCTCAGTCCTTTACAGCTAAAGACGAAAGGCACACTTGAATGGTTGATATTTTTCCTTTATTAGTCAAAACAAAAAGCTGGTATAAAGGAAAACCTGGATTGACCAGAAATGTGATATCAATGCAAAAGAAAAGAAAGTGTCAAAGATTTGTTTTCTACTGAGAATACTGCAGTTAAGTCAGAATGAAGCAGTTTTTGATTGTTTTTAACAGTGTAAAAAATAAGTTGATGAAGATGTAGGAAGACAATTTTTAAAAAGACCATGTTCCTTTTTTAATTTCCATGCTTTTGTATATTTTCCTCATTTCTGTTTGATATAATTTTAGAAATTAAATAAAGGTTTCAAAAATCCTTTTGGTTGACTTTGTGACATATTTTGTGAATTAAGACTCAATAGAAAAAAATCTTCCAATGGCAGAAGACATAATGGGAATTTTGCCACCAGACTAATGAGAGAGAGGCTTTGTATCTGCTTTGTATCTGCTTTGTATCTGCTTTTTGGGGAAAAGCCAGAATTGGGCATCAGGTACTTCATTCGTTTGTGGACAATAAGACCTTTCATGGTTATATTAGAAGAGTAACACAACATAGGAGGAAATAAACAAGTATACTTCAAGTAAAGAGCTCTTTGAACATGACAGGAAGAAAATTACTCTATGGTTACACTCTTCTAGTAAATGATTTCCTATAATGTCTTCTTATTCATGTGGCCATTTTCCGAGTCTGAACAGACCTGATCTAATGGAGCAACTGTGATATCTTTATGCCCCTAAATGCTTACATTTAGTCACAAATCACCCATGTATTTAATGCAATCTGAAAGCAACATGTTATTACTTCAAAGGTCTTTTTTGCTCTGGAAACAACTTGAAAAAAGAGTTTAGCCTTGTCACTTATGAACCTGGGTTGCAAACCCAAAAATGAGCAGAAGGTCCCAATTAAATAATTACACTGATTTCAGTGAATATTGAACCAAGTTTCCTAAGAGGCTAGCACATCCAATTTCATTACATGAATTCTTTCATATCACTTTTGATGGATGCACTTGTGGAGGAAGAGAAGTCCTCTAATGAGACCACAGATGTGATGACTCCCACCTTGGGGCACTACAAATCTAATTTTAGTAAGACCTGTCTACCAATTTTCAAGGACCAGAATAGTAAAGAAGTGGGGACATTTTTCTTAAGTAAATGGTTGGTTCTGAGATCTTCGACAGCATGGGTTCCATTAAAATCTTGACATATACCAGATCTTGGTATATTCATTTATTGTTTTCTTTTTCTAGTATTCCTATATGGAGAACACAAAATACTATGATAAATTTAACAAATGTTTGGTGAATGTCAACATTTTAATGATACCCTCCGTTTTCTGAAGTGGAAGGGATGGAGCTGTCACTTGTAGGGGAGACAGGTCTGTTATCTGAGAAAGAAACAGCCATTCTGAAGATATTTTTCACATGAAACAGTGCTAAACTAACAGCAAGGGACAGTCTTCGTACTGTCAGTCCATTCTTAACTCACTCTGTAGACCTTAGATACTGTCAGAGCACAGTGTAGGATATATGACACGAAAATCTTCAAATAAAATGCTGATGGGCTCAGCGTAAGAAATGGGCAAGACAGACACATATGTTATAATGCAACACCTCAGTGCAACTGTATTTGTCACAGTTAGTTATACTGTATACATATATATATATACACACACATACATATATATGTGTGTATATACATATATACTGTCCCCAACATTTTTTTTCTCTTTGCTTAACTCAAACTGATAATTTGAGCTTAGCTTGAACATTTACAGAAATACATCTGTACATGTATGTGTGTACACATACACATAAAGCACGTTTTCTCTTAGAACAGCTCCCCAAGACTGTGTAAGACACCTGTTGAGAGACCTCATTGCAATAGTCTATACTGTGTTATTAATCAGGCATTGGAATGGGCTGCCCAGGGAAGTGGTGGATTCTCTGTCCCCGGAGGTTTTTAAGATGAGACTGGATGTGGCACTGAGTGCCATGATGTAGTAACCGCGGTGCTAGTGGATCAAGGGTTGGACTTGATGATCTCAGAGGTGCTTTCCAACCTGGCTGATGCTATAATTCTATGACTCTATGATTCCATGATTAGCTCTTGCTCAGAAACTGTAACCTGGGTGCATATGGTACACTGCACTTTCTTATGCCAGTGTCAGGGATGTTAGCTGGAAATCGGGTTCCCTCACTCAAAGGAGGAAGGCCCCACTCCTACATACCTGTGCATGTTGCAGATGTGTGCACACCTCAGGAAGAGAGGAAAGAGTCCAGGCCCAACGAAGTGCCTGTTAAGGACACAAGCAACAAAAAATCGTATTCATGGTTGGTAACTGCAGAATTTTGTTTCTTTTCGATTTTCCTCCTAGGCAGTGCAACTCAGTGACAGATTTAATTTTTCTGAATAACAAAACCTGGCACCTCCATGACTAGACTCTTAGGAATTGCAGTAGTCTGGAAGATGAGAAACATGCAATGGCCTCTGAACATCCTCTTTTTGCTTCTCCTTTACAGGAGATATAAAGCTCCTGTCAAAAGGCAGTAAGACAAACAGTTTGGGATAAATCCCCCAGAGCTCTTAAGGGTGGAGTCCTTGAACAATGGAATTTTGCATTTCTTCGATACCACAGTGGAATTACACTCTTTTTCCTAATGGCCACTTTGTAGCTGACAGAGCTGGTCCAGGATCCCCGAAGAAGTAATCAGACCCCAAGTAATGATGCTGTCTTATCTTTCATAACCAGTGCCTTCCCTAAGCTCTCTGGGAGTAGAGTCAGGGACAGCAGCAAGGGTTTAGCAGCTGTGGAGCCATTCTCTTTCTGTTTTCTTTCATGGACATACGTATAAATCAGGGAGGACTCAACTGAAAAAGTGGTGCATTTACTTAAGTATAAAAGCAATGAGGATCTGGCTTCTTACGTTCTATTTACTCAGAAAAGTAGTAAACTCTCCCCAGGCATGAAGCTGGGCCAAGCTATGCAGTCCTGGCAAGGCATTCCTGTGGAATAAGGAGGGCTAAAATTTGGCTCTAAAAATTTAATCCCAAGGAGTAATTTGATTACTTTTAAATGCAGCTTCGTTTTCAATTATTTTTCTCAGCATGCTCTCTCATCGCCTCCATCCGGAACATGAACTGTGCCATTATGTGCCTGTGCCTGGCCAGAGACAAACGCAGACCGCTGCGAGGCAGGGGGTACCAAACCCCTGTCTGCCTGCTCGTATGGCACCTGATAAAGGTACCCTCATCCTGCCTGGGGCCTCAGGGGGCCTTGCTTTGGCAGAGAGACAGAACAATGAACGAGCAGCCCATGAATAATCTGCAAACCTTGTCCGTGGGCTGTGAGTGCAGGGATGGTTTCAGACCCCCATGTTGGCTACTCACAGCACAGCACAAGCAGAACCACAGAGAACTGCTGGCTCAGGTCCTAGAAACAGTGTAGCTGCTTCAGTCACAGAGCAGCCGGGGTACTGCCTCCTGCTCGGAAACTTGCTCGCTCAGTGCAGTCATTACCTCACCATACTGTATTTCGTTTGACAAGCATGTTATATATGAGAGAATAAAATAGGGAATGCTGCTGATGCTCTCCTTATTGTCCTTATCAGTGTTTCAGGAAGACAGCAGGCAATTTTGCAGGCACTCGCCAGCACTCAGAAGAAACTGAAAATGTTCAGCGCTTTTCCAAAACTCAGAACTTAATGCAAAAGTCAAGTATAGACGTAACTGTCTACATTTTGACACTCAAGTAAAAATATATGTTAACTAAGTGGCCCTCAACTCCTCAAATATCAGAAAAATGGGTCAGTCTGCAAAGTAAAAGTATCAGCAATTCTTCCCTTTTCAGAATTCAGTTAGATCAGCATATGACGATATTCTCTCTTTATATATATATGATAAAAAATCAGGGTATGTAAACTAATCCAGTGTAACTAAATATTTTAATTTTCAAGTTCTAAAAAGAGATGAAGGAAAACAATATAATATTTCTTCAGAAAACTACAGAAATGTTAGGGGGTTTCTGATGACCTTATTTAAATAAATTTGCTATTGAGAATAATGCCTGAAGTTCCAGCAGATGAAAAGGCACAAGAAATACATCAGGAAAATTAATACCCTGACGCAGAACTGGGTTGTAAATGTAAGTAAAAAAACCCACAAACAAACAAAACCAAAAAAACCCCACAAAACACCCCAAACAAACAAACAAACCCAAACAAAAACACCAAGCCATCAAAAACTTTAACCCACCAAACCTCTGCAGGATGTTCTGGAAAGCCAATATAGTCATATTAAGATATCTATCATAATTTTACAGCTATTGAGCTGCAAACACTTAGCCACACTAATTCACTCAAATCTCACATTGATCTTCACAGAAACTAGTCAAAGATGAAGCACATGCTGCTGCACTGCAACACTAAAATGCAATTATTGAACCCTCCCCCAACAGACAGCATTTCTCATGTGTGGTACAATTTTTGCTTTTGACTCCCAAGTCTTTAGCACGACTTCACTCAGTCACACAGCAGTGTAATTTGAAGACTGGTACCCACCCTCTCAGTAAGCCAAAAACAATATACAGAATCTAGTCAAAATGACTTGTTAGCTGGTATGGGATTTTGATCAAGAATTTTGAGCAATCGAAAACCAGTACAGCACATTTTTAGTGGATTCAAATCAGAGGATCATCAATGATAGACTGAGGTTTTATCAGAGCTCTAAAGTGGTCGGGTTTTGGCCCTTACATGTTTAGCAGTTGTAACAATGGTATCAAGTACCACACAAAATCAAAATCTTCACTGTTGTTCATGCAGAAGTGCTAAAATAGCTGATGCAGCAGAAAATTATCTGCAGGATTAGACAAATGAGCAAACCCTTAGCAGTGTGACACAGCTACATGAAAAGAAATACATCCAGGAATAAAAAGTGTAGGACACACTTATAGGAACAGGGTAGTTTACTTCAGGGACTCTAAAAGCATTTAGGAATGATAGTGGATAACTAATGGTGCATGAGTGTTGTGTGATGCTGCATCCAAAAGAGTTGGTACAGTCCCTGGAAGAATAAGCAGGAGGATTTCTGTAGGCAACCAGTCTGTAGGCAAGCAGAAGGGAATTATATTAATTCTGGATTTGGCACTAGAGCTTCATGTTTGTGAGTTTATGCTGAAATATGGCGTTCATGATTCATCAGGGATGTTGATAAATTGGAGGGGGTTCAGAGAAAATCAGTGAGAATCATTACAGGATTGGAAAGTAAGCCTTTAAATTCCAGGACAGTCATGTATTTAGTTCATCAAAGAGGTTAAGGGATAACTTGATCTGACTCTTCATGCAATAGGAAAGAAAACTTTGGAAATAAAACGACATATCCAGAAGTAAAACTCAGAAATGGAGTAGAATTGAAGTTGACATTTCTACTAATTATTGAAACAATTTTAAAATGATCTGTGCTTGCAAGTTACTCTGAAAGAGTTCCTTTATTTAACTAAGACAGGAATTAACTCAGAAAAGTCTGTTTAAGTACGAGGTCAGGCTATTTGATTAAAAAATGGTCTTTTCAATCATCACAGTCTAAAAATAAGTTATGACTAAGAAGTTGAAGCCAAGGGAAACCACATATTCAAAAAGCCAACATAATCTATAATTTGGAACATTTTTCTCCTTAACTAAGGATTTGAAACTTTAGAGGACAACCATGCTCCTTGCTATCCTCTTTCTCTGCTCAACTGACTCTCAGCTCCTACTGACATGCACATTTCTTTAAAACTGAGCAATAAGACTTTAAAAACAGCCAGCCTCACAGAAAGCACAAATTTCCTGTGAGCCTAACAGTATTGCCTTCATGACTCACATTTGGAGCGTATTCCCCAGAATACAGGTTACAAGCTCCAAGTCATAGCATTGCCATGTACCTGAGCAGCCTGTTCGTCCCCAGTTCCCATTTGTGCAGAGAGTGCTCAGTCCTAAAAACAGCACTTTTCACTCTGAACACCACGTTATTGATTTCAGTTGTGCATCACCCTGATGGTAGTTTCACCTGGGCCATAGCTTTTTAGGCTGCTTACACGAACAACATCTGGGAATGGGCCAAAAGCCTTGACATCACATCCTTTGACTCCTCTCAAGACCCACTGGAGGTGCAATGCTGTTCAACAGGACCTTGTTTCAATGTGATTTATTCTTATTAAACCCACGCTTGCTGTATCTTATCACTGCAATCTCTCAACGCTGGAAAGCTCTTTACACTCCCTTAAGGTACGGGAAATCTAATTCCCCTTTTCCACCATTCTTCATCGCTTTTTTAAAAAAGTTAGAATTATGTCCATCCTCTTGCAGTCTTCTGGAATTCACCCTTCTTTTCAGAGTGTTAATCACTACCCAGAAACGATTCATCTTAATCTCTTAAATACTCCAAGGGTATATTTCAGCCAACCTAATGACTGCAGCACACTAACTGTGTCTAAGTGTTATTTGACCTGATCTTTGACTATCTGACCAGAGTTCTGGTCCTCTCATTAACTGCTGTTAATCTTATCAGAGATGCAATTACAATCTCATTATGTTTTAAGATTAAAAAAAAGAAAAAAAGCTGAATGTTTCTGCTTCTGTCTCCACTAGGCAAGAGATTGCATTTTCCTCTGTCTCCCATAAAGGAGCTATATTTATAGAAACGTTGTGTTGTTCTTATGTCCATCACCAGTTGTAATTCCATTTCTTCGTTAGTTTTTCTGATCATGTCTATGTATGGCCATGTATTATTTTACACTCAGCCTCCGGCACCTTGTTTCTGCTTAAGTTTTCTCTTTGATTTTTATCATCATTCAATAGCTCCTGCTGTTCCATTTTGGTGTTTTACTACAACCACTGTATTTCACTCATATTAGGATATACAGTTTCCTAGTTGGGTTTTTGTGTTTTCTCCCCTAGAAATTCCCAACTTTCCTCTTTGTGTTTGTATTTCTATCTGTGAGTACCTGCCAAAATTTTTTTACTGGTTTAACTGAAGTTCTCTGCTTTATCTGTCATTTGTCATGATGTATGTAAATCCTCAGGCTATCACTGCATCCAGTCTACTGTAGGACATGAGCCATTGATCTGTCACATCAAGCCACTGCTGGCACACCATATCCTCTGTCTCTTCCAGAAGCTCCTTTTCTGGATGCAGTTCTCTGCTAACACTGGTTCCTCCCTCTCACCCCTTCTCTTCCTGTGCTTTACCGTGATTCCCCACAGGTATCATCTGCATGATCTGAACATCTACCACTTCAGCTAAGTGAGTGACTATATT